AATTTCGCACTGGGGTACTCAAAATTTGAAGAATTTAAGACGTTTCCATGAGTTTTGAAGGTATGGATAAGTTCTAAAAATCCGGTTCTCCTTATCTGGGCCATTAACTCCATACGGTCCAGGAAAGCTGGCACACTACCTTTAAGCCGCCCGGTTGCAGTCTCTTGCTGGTTTCAAACGTTCAAACATGCGATATGATGTTGACCCCATGCACTAGGGTAGGTGTCTAGGTCATCTGAAGATCTTGTTTATTTGTTTGTTTTGTTTATTTACCAAAATCACCAACAGGGACAAGCCCCACTGACAGGCGAAGTTAAGATGAAAACAATTAAACAGTATAAGAAACATTGTAAACATCGTACCTGTCGCGTCACAGCTCACGCAGTTCCCAACTATTCTATAAAATGGAGAAAGATAAAGGTGAGCTAAAATACCTGATGCATAAAATGAATCATGAAAAGATGCAAATATAAGTGCAAATGAAGCACGAGGCAATAATAAACATCAGCAAATTGATTATGTGTATGTGTTTGGCTCAAAAAGTTCAATTTAACCCTCGCCGGCACAGGCCATTTTGCGTCCTTCGACGGCACAAGGGGGGGTTGGTACGACCCCCCTCGCGTTTGGCCCCTGATCGAGCTAGAGCTTCGCAGAAAAAACGAGCGTGCTGCCCGTCACTAGAGGAAGCCGATGATACCCAATTTTAAGGTCCTAGGTCATCGGGTGACCTTCCAGGTCGGGTCAATGACCCGAAAACCGGGAAAATCGGGACATGTCAGAAAGTCGTAAAGTGTGGCTGCTACGTGGTTTTCCGGGGTGCTGATCACAAATATCGTGTTAGTTTTGATCAGAGATGATGTCTTTAAGCATTTAGACCAGGTCGGGTCAGGTCAGGTCAGGTCAACCGGTAGGGGTTGTGACGGGTATTCGTAATACGTGTCAACCGCCTCTGACAGCTTCGTAACATGTAACGAAGGCACCAAAACTACTTCGTAAATGTTCAAATGGTTGCTAAATTCGAATTCAGCTACAAAAACTAGCCTAGAAACATGTAAAACTCGAAAAAGTGAACCGAGGTCACCCGAGGTCACCAAAGGTCAATGACCTGACCTGACCTTCAGGTGACCTTGACACCCACCCTAATGTATGGGAGCAACATCAAATCACATGTTTGAACGTATGAAACCACGAAAAGCTTGCAAACGCACGGCTAATGCGAGCCGACATACGACGAATCGCGATTCCGTCCAAACATGGTCTCGGAAAAGAGGTCACAGGTCAAAGGTCATTTGGGTCAGGGACATTAAATTTTCAGGGTAGGTGTAAAATTGATCAATGCGAGGGTACTGAAAGTTTCGTCGCGATCGGCCGCTTTTTACGCGAGTTATTCGCGAAAAACCTTATGGGGGGGTTGCATCCCCCCCCCTGTGCCGGCGAGGGTTAAGAAATGCATGTATCATGGTCGTGAAGTAGTCACGAGAAATTGCCAAGATTCAGTTCACGATTTTGGAAAATGCGGAACGATAATAAATAATCGAAGATAGCCATTTGATTGTTCATGTTATTGGCAGTCTAATGGCGTTTACGGCATGTCTGTATGTCTATTCTAAGATTTTATATGATTTTTTGAACATATGCCGTTTTTGGTCGAAAACTCAGAAATCATGACGTCACTAAAACTTCGATATCTCAAAACTTTGGGACCGATTTTTTTTAACTTTGTCACAATACACTTCAATCAATTCCCTACAGGTACCCAAAATTTGGCACGCCTGCGGCGCGCCGTTTTTATGCTATGGCCCGGCGAAAAAAGTGGGGGCGTTTAAGCCCCTCCAGCAACTCGCAGGTTAATGTTTGTGCATAGGACGAAAGATGTTTTAATGGTGTTATGCCCCATACCTAGTGTAATGAGACAGAGGAACATACAATGTTATAAACATATGGAAATGTCAAATGTGTCTGAAAAAGTATCGTGTACCAATATTAGTGGGGTGCAAAGAGGTAATACACGGCAAATAAATCATATTCATAATGTTAGCCAGCGCCGTGCTGGTGGCCTGAATTTTCCGTGTCGTGCTGGGGGGGGGGGGGGGCGTTTTCACGCCTCCCGTCTGACTCGGCTCCTGGGCCACGTAGTGACACGCGGTAATGCGGCAATCGAAAGAGCGTCAAAAATGATGGCGGAAATGCTTTGATAATTTTTAAGGTCAGGTCAAAAGTCACGTCACCAGAGTCAAATGTCAAATTTTGTCTATTTCAACAATTTTTGAAACACCTGAGGACTAACTCGGAAACCAATAGAGCTAGAGCGCCACGGAAATGTGTGTCTGTGTGTATACTGATGTGTAGGTACACCGACTGTTTATGTGTCCCTATTACATGAGATCATGAACTGAGAAGCTTTTACCAATAATACAATCAAAGAAACTTCGAAAAGTAAATTCAGCTTCCTAAAACGCAATGCTTTTAGACGACCTAGGTTGACCATGACTTGACCCTGACCCTGACATCTGTACATCGTTGAACAACATGTTCTATGATAGGTGGAAGGTAAACCTGGCAAAAAAGGCCGAAATCAAGTCGTCAAAAGCTCACAAGACCCATAGCCAACGTAAGATATTAGGTATTTGTTATTTGGGTCATGACATGACCTGAAGAACAAGGTCATATCTCCAAAACCAAAAACCACAGAAACTTGAAATTTTCAGTGGACGCTAAGAAAGGATAGAGAAGCAGCTATACGAAAAATCAGGCTTCTAGCTTTAAAAATAATGAGTGCAGAGCAGAAAAACTACCTGGGGGTGGTAACCGACACCCCCCCCCCCCAATGTGCGGGCGAGGGTTAACCTGCGCCCTGATGGTAGAGCCATTTTGGTACCCCTCCCCCTGTGGTTTTTCTTGAATAGCGAAAAAACGGCGACGTGCAGCGCCGCCAATTTTTTGTACCTTTTGAGACATCAACTTAACCTTCGTACAAAATTTCAAGTCATATGTCACATTAGGTCAGGAGTTATTGAGGTCAAACAGAGGTGATCTTCGAGCAAAAATGAGCAAAAAACATGAAATATTGAAACGCTCACAAAAGCTACAGTTAACAAGCAATTTCAAAGTTCGTTATATGGTCGTGTAGAAAAAAAGACGGCACTACAAATATGCTATCTCGGATTTTCAAATTTTTGTGAGTTTGACCCCAAAATCAAAAACTATTTTTTATAAAATAGCAAAAAAATCCTGTAAGTTTTTCGTATTTCGAAAAACGGAATATATATAAAAGTCCCTACCCTCTTCTATCTACATACAAAATTTTAGATCGACACCTCCTTTTTGGCCAAGTTAACCCTCGCCCGGACATGGGGGAGGGTTGCCACCCCCCAGATAGTCTTTCTGCTCTGCACTCAACATTTTTAAAGGTAGAAGCCTGATTTTTCGTATAGCTGCTCCTCTGTCCTTTCTTGATGTCCACTGAAAATTTCAAGTTTCCGTGGTTTTTGGTTTCGGAGATATGACCTTGTTTTTCAGGTCATGTCATGACCCAAATGACCAATTCTCAACATCTTGCGTTGGCTATGGGCCTTGTGAGCTTTTGACGCCTTGATTTCGGCCTTTTTTGCCAGTCTCACCTCCCACCTATCATGGAACATGTTGTTCGACGATGTACAGATGTCAAGGTCAAGGTCAAGGTCAACCTAGGTCATCTATAATAATTGCGTTTTTGGCAAGCTAAATTTACTTTTCGCGAAGTTTTTTGACTGCATTTTTGCTTCTCAAATCATGATTTCATGTAATATGGACACATAAACAATCGGTGCACACATCAGTATACACACAGACACACACAGACATACAAGCACATATCATTGACCTTGACCTAACTTGACCTGAAATGACCTCAGCAGCAAAAACCTGGTCGGGTAGTGTGACAAAGAGGTTCTAGCTGGCTTGGCACCAGAAAACGGCATCGTCATCGGTATATGATAAGCAGCGCACTGCGCACTTGATATCCAACGGTGACCCAAAACAGCAACATATTTTAGTTTGACCTGACCTGGAAGGTCAATGACTGACTTGAGAAGGTAAAGCTGGGTATCATTGGATTCGTCTCTTCCCAAAAAAATGGTCTTTACTGCGAAGCTCTATCTCCAACAGGAACGAAATGGCGCGGGGTGGCAACCCCCCCCCCCCCCCATGTGCGTTCTAGGATGGGAAAATGGCATGTGCGGGCGAGGGTTATAGCGGAAAACAAACTGTTCAAAATTGATGACGTAAAATTTTCGAACTCAATTTGAGCAATTCTACACCACGTAGCGCAAAAAAAGACCATCATTAGACTCCTCGTGACAAGCTGCATAGAATCATTAGACTATCTCAACTCAACACAAATGTTAAAGGAAATATATCACTTTTAACATGGGGTTTTGAAATGGAATAGCAGTTTTGTAGCTTGAACCGAGAATAGCACAAATCAGGAGCTTTTACGGCCCTGGCGATCACCCTAGGCAAAGATATTCCATTTCTCGTCCCGATAGGGGTCCTTGTAGAGGAATGCGGTCCTTGTATAGAGAAGTGCAGCCACGTCATTGTCAGCCAATCAGCATGCTGCTTACAGCCAATGCAGCATGCATATTGCGTAGGTTTGAACTACGCAATATGATTGGTCGACGCGTCATAAGCTTCCACGTCAAACATTGTGTAATATAAAATATAGTTCTCCCTATACTGATAATAAAAAGTAACCGTTTTCATAAAAGGTTCTATATTATTGTCTGATCATTTTGAGTTTTGAGCATAAAAAATCAGAAATCCATTGCAAAAAAAAACTGATAGCGGGAAAGTGAACTATTTCCTGTAAGGTTGGATGGTCACTTTAATAACGCTGTCAGGTTTCTCAAATAACGCATGGCTTGTAGCCAGTTGTAACCTTACTATGCCAGCTGCCTCCAAATCTCATATCTGGGCCGCACCGCCTACCCCTGAACTAGGGAAGCACCTGGTTTTACAGCGCGTGTTGAGCTCCGAGGAGCAGCTGGTTTTACGCTGGGACGCCGTCAGCGTGCCGTGGCGCGTTGGCCGGGTATTTTTGGGTTCCACACATGGTGGGATAAGTGGCCGCTCTGCTGTGCCTATATAATCCAGCCGAGGGCGGCGGCCAGCCAGTTCCGATCCAGGTCCGGCAGGGGTGAGCGGGCACGCGGGCCGCCATGGGTAAAAAGGTGAGTGCCGGCTCAGTGAGCAGTGGTAACCAGTAACCAGTGGTAACCAGGGGTAGCCAGCCCACACCATGGTGGAGGGTAAAAACAGGGCGCCTAGGCCGCCAGGCTGGGGTCAATTGATGCTCCACACCGTGGTCCTTTTTCGATTTTTAAGCGACGCCGAATGCGAGATAAAAAAATGAATAAGGATAGGCGTTTTGAAAATGTATCACCAGTCGACGTGATATGACGGACAAGAGGGTAAGTTATTCATCCAAACCCGAGTCCGAGGCTCTTATCCGATTTTTGAACGAGGCCGTATAACTGCCGTTAACTGCCGCAGGCCGTTAGCCGAGTACAAATTGCTGCAATATATTCGGCCGGGGTCATTGCAGTATGTTAGCAAGTACTTACAAAGCACATGTCTCCGGCTATTACACCTTTTTGCGCTAGCGAGCGCGGCGGGGCAAAGGATAGACGTGTGCCCATTGACCTATAGAAGTCGCGTGTGCCTTACAACGCCGCCAAAGATCCTCCAGCATGAGCGAGCCACCATAATCGGGGGCAGTGCTCCCCACCATCGTGATTTGCAGACGGTATCTGATATCTCCTAAATATCTTTAAAAGTCTGTATAGTCTTTCTTGAAGGTGTCGCGACTCTGAGGGGAGGGCGCCACCTGACCCACTCGCTGTTGAGCGGAAATGTTTGAGAGCCACTGAAGGCACTGACCGAAGCCAGACGCGCGGCCGCAGCCAACGCGGCGGGGCGTGGGGAGAGGTTGCGGATGGATGGGGGGGGGGGGGGCGTACGGTCACTTGTGGAAGTAAGCATTTACTCAACGAAAGCCACCCTACTCGCAGAAGATTTGAGATTTGTTTCACTACAAAGCTGAAATTTTGACCCGTCATCGGCACGACTATAATAGGTTTTTGGTATAGCCCAGAAACCCGTGCGCGAATATGAAAGACATCAGTTGCACCCGCTAACGGAATGCATCGTGGTTGCAGGTGCACCCGCGAGCGAATTCCAATCACAAAAAAACTTTTCTCTAGTCACTTAGTCCTTTATGTTCTCTTTTAATGAGCCGCTTAGTGAACGGCGATGTAGAATAATGTTTACCTTTCAGCCGTCTTCTTTTTTAAGTCCTTATTTGATGCCAGGCTGCCCCCCCCCCTCCCATGACCTGTTTACGTCGTTCAGAAGGCTTCTTCAGAGTAACTAGAGTTATGGCGGAACTTTGCTTCTTTGTGATTTTACGCGTCCCGCACACTGCGTTAACAGTGATTGGCGCCCACTGAGGCAGACCAGTGAGCGCCCAGCTGGTGAACCTTAGCGGCGCACGTATCCGCCTGGGGCGGTGGACGGGGTCAAGAGAGAGCGATACGAGCACGACCTCTGGCCGGCCTCCACTTGTTTCGACCCAGCTGTCAGCAGCTGGTGCCTGCGTCATTTAGCAGTTCTTCTACTGCTGGCGTAGGATCTTTTTTTGGGGTTAGGCCTTTTCGGTCCATTTAGACCATTTCAGAGCCAGAAGGATGATAGGAATTAGGGGGATATTGGTCTGGGCAGGCACCCTAGTGAGTCACCGGGGCTGAGCCCATCCCCAAGGACAGGCCGACGAGCCCCAAGGTACTTACTACTCACTGCACCCGGCTACGGGGTGCGCTCCCTCGGGAGCAGCGGTGCCGCTCCAAGGGAGCAGCCCGCATGAGATAAAGTTGCCTTTCCAGCCCGGAAGGGGTTGCGGCGTGGAGGAGAACGATTTCAGTATCCTGAGGATAAAAGCACTGAACGGTGTGAAGTAAGATCGTGTCACAGCGCAATTTGTATGATACACCCTACAGGCCATGACCGCACTGCTAGGGTCTTCAAACTGAATGGAATAGTTCGCCCAGCCGTCGCAACCCATGAAGTGATACTTTTAAGGGAGACTCACACCCTACTTAGTATGTTGCTCTGTTCGTAAGTTACGAACCCAGTGCTGGGTTCGTAGTGCTGCTGCTCAGCAGCTTGCGCCCTTTCTGAGCTGCAGGTGGCCGATCGAGTCCTGGCGGTGCGCGATGGCAACTAGGTAGACGTTTTCATGGACTGCTGACTGCTGAGTGTTGTGTTGAGCTATATGGACGCCGTGTCCGCCACCTTACCACATAAGACATTAGGAGTTTTTCGATTTAATGCTCCAGGGGGAGATCCCATCTTTGAATTAGAGATTTAATTGAATTTTTCTTTAAGTGTGCAACGACCAACGTAGACGAGCTAGCCTGGAATGACGCATTGACTGAAATGACTTAAATTCTTGAGCATTGAAAATGCGAATTCAGTTGTGTGTTTGATCACAATGCAGGCAAAAAAGAAAGAAACATAAACAAAACAAAAAACAAAAACAAGACACCAATTCAATCACTTTCATTCTGTTTTTCCTTGTGGACCGCACAGATCAAAAGCTATTTTAATCCGGCCCCCGATCAAAAGAGATGGTAGCCCAAACCTAGTCTGCTATGGAAGATTCAAGTTATTCTAAATTCATAAACTTTAATGCTAAATTGACTATAATTGAGAGTTTTGTTGAAGATGCATGACCAGATACGGAAAAAGCGAGATGCTGTCTTGTAGGTTAAATCATCTACTATCTGCGCCTTTTGAAACGTTTTTTTTTTCAATCTGAGGTACGCAAATCGTGTTCCCAAAAGGCTGAAAGTTACCATGTTTTACTTAAGACCCATTGGCGAAAATTCGGAATCTAACGAAATTGATCATTTTCACGGCTGATTTATGAAAATTCTAGACAAGAAACATAAAAAACTAGATGCTATCTGGTTGAAAATTGTATTGTCTATTACCGCTTTTTCAAGTGTTTTTTTATCTGAGACCGGCAAATCGTGTTCCCAAGAGACTGAAAGTAACCCTGTTCTACAGCGAGACAAATGCATGATTCTAATGTTTTATGAAATATTTCTTCGGTACTTAGTTACCATATGATTAATTGCAATGCTTCATTGGAAAGCTCAACACTGTGACTATAATCGGACTTTGCATTGCTATTTCATAGAACCACATTAAATAACATTTTATGCCGCCCTCTGTTCTCGTAGTGCCGCCCGCTGAAGTCATAGTGCCGCCCTCTGAGGTCATAGTGCCGCCCTCCGCAGTCTTCTTGAAGCTCCCTGAAGTCATAACGTCACGTTCTGAAGTCATAGCTTGCATTTTAACCCGCGCCCTGCTGGGGGGGGGGGGTGTTTAAGCCCCCCTTGTGGTTTTTCGCGAATATCTAAAAACGGCGGCGCTCCTTTGGTACACCTTATCACACATCAATTCTACATATGTTGTGAAATTTTCAGACCAAGGTCATTCAAGGTCAGGTCACCAGGTCACTTGACCTCACCTCATAAAAAGTTTCAATGTCTGCCATAGCTACACCGAGTGACCGATCGCTTTGAAACTTTCAGCGATTGCTAAGAGTAATAACATGTACACAATTTATATCTCAGAATTTTGATATCGATGACTTGAGGTCAGGTCAATTTTGCGACCTCTCCATTATAAATCAATGGGAGAAAATTGAAATGCGCCTCTTTTGGACGAAAGACATAATAAACACTCCCAAACACTGAATTACAAGTGGTTTATATACACTGAACATGAAAATGGTGTCCGTGACCCCCTGTTTATGCCCCTGAGGTCATCTCAGTTCACGAATGGTATCTAATAGTTTTTCGCAAATAACTTTTGATAGAGGCATGCTGACCAACGACCGCATTCGACCCGCCTGAGCGAGACGAACACGATGCTGGCAAAATCGCGGCTCTGCGGCCGTTTTATGCGAGGCTATTCACCAAAAACGGAGCCGTACCTTGGGGTACTTGACCTGACCTCAGAGGTCACCGGTTGACCTAGGACCATTAACCCGCGCCCTGCTGGGGGGGTGTTTGAACACCCCCCCCCCCCCTCCTGTGGTTTTTCGCGAATATCTCAAAAACGGCGGCGCGGAGCGCCGCCGTTTTTGGTACACCTTACCATACATCAATTCTACACATGTTGTGAAAATTTCAGACCAAGGTCATTCAAGGTCAGGTCACCAGGTCACTTGAAGTGACCTCACCTCATAAAAACTTTCAATGTCTGTCATAGCTACACCGAGTGACCGATCGCTTTGAAACTTTCAGCGATTGCTAAGAGCAATAGCATGTACAAAATGTATATCTCAGAATTTTGATATCGATGACCTAAGGTCAGGTCAATTTTGCGACCTCCCCATTATAAGTCAATGGGAGAAAATTGAAATGCGCCTCTTTTGGATGAAAGACATTATAAACACTCCCAAACACCGAATTACAAGTGGTTTAGACACACTGAACTTGAAAATGGTGTCCGTGACCCTTGTTTATGCCCTGAGGTCATCTTAGGTCACGAATGGTATCTAACAGTTTTTCGCAAATAACTTTTGATAGAGGCATGCTAGAGCGATGAAAACGTCTTAGATGTGTTCAGCTCGACGATACGGATCGACTGACATGCAACATGACCCTTTCCGGTCAGGTCATGACCTTGACCTGAGGTCAAATTTTCAAGTTGACCTTTCAAGGTCAAGACATAGTTCATTCGATGCGTCTTGACGAGAGGAACACGATGCCGGTAAAAGTAAGCTCGTACAAGGCTTGGGTCAAAAGTTATTGCAGAAAAACTGTTTTCGAAAAAATCGGCTATTTTTGCAGTTTTTGCCCCCTGCAGGCAAAACCGTTGACGTTAGGTCAAATCTGAGTGAATTACTCAGAAAGGGCGTTAATAGGGCTATCGAATGCGCTTTTCCGCGGCGCTGTAGCTCTATTGGTTCCCGAGTTATGCGTTGGCTTCTTGGAAATTTTCGACATTCGACCTGGAAATCGGCGAAATTTTGCCTTCAATGACCTCTGGTGACCTGACCTTTGACCTGACCAAAAAATTGACCGAAGTGATTTCGTCATTATTTTTTACGCTCTTTCGAACGCCGCCTTCCGCGTATCGCTACGTGGCCCAGGAGCCG